ACTTTCATAAACTGGCTTGTTGCAGTAGTGACAATCTATTTGCAGTATCACACTCCAATTCAGTGAGATCTATAGAATGTCCCAGTATTTTACAAATGTTTGTAAAGGCAGATTGCATGGCTAGGAGCTTGGTTTTATACATCTATGACAATGTAACTGAAAACACCTGAATTCAAAGATTAAAAGGAGTAGCCCAACACTTACAGGCCCCTTAAGTGTCAGTATCAAAAATGGTGTATTTGAGACTCATATCTGTGTCATTACTTTTATAGTAGAACAAGAAATTCTCAAATGTCACCACATTAGTCTTCTGGGTACCAGGTTGTTAAGCCTGGTCAGGCCATGGTTTTTGGTGCAAACTGAAGAAGAAAAAGAAGGGGAAAAAAAAATCACATAGAAAATTGACAAAGGGAAAACAAATACTAATAGAAAACCAATAACAAGCACTAAAATGTTCCCCCTCTGGTTCAACGTTACAGTCAGGACATCAGTAGTTCTAATGAGGTATCAGTTTTCTGCATGTGAACAGAACACATCCTGTCAGAAAGCTTTAAGGGTGAGGAATGGAAAGCACAACTAACGGCACGGTACACTGAGTCACATCTCAAGTGCTTCTTTTCTTATTTTTTTAAAGCTGTGTTTTATTCCAAAATGCCTAATGACTTCCTCAGAGCAGAGTATCTTCAGAGAGCCTCTCTGCATCCCTAAATGCAATTGAATGAATTCACTTGGAGTTGATGGGAATCATCTCTTTCACTGCTTTTGATTTTCTCAAAAACTAACAGCCAGGGCAATCCGTAAGTATGAAGTATGTCACTTTTACAATAAACTCAAAGAACTATGGCAAATTCTTAGGAGCTCGAGAACACAGGCAGCAAGTGTGATGTGTATATCTTGGCCAAAAACCAGGTAAATGTTTTATTCAGATAAAATAACACCTGAAATTCCACAGAGAGCAACAGTCTCATTAGAGAGCAGTGACAAAAGCAAAGCAACTGGCGGAGCTTTGACTGTGAAAACTGATACAGCCGTGCTTATTTCCACCAAGGACAATGAAATGTAAGCTATCACGCTCGCTCCTCACTTCCCAGAACTCACATTGAAGGCTGCAGCGTGGTGTAGGTGGAAGGTCACAAAAGATTTGTGTGTATGAGATTCATAAAGTGTGCATAAGAGTGTGATTTCCCTATACTGCCTATGCCCACTATGCGACAATAAGGAATACAATGTTACCTATTTGTTTACCGCACAGACAATGGCGTATAAATGCCAGAGGGCAAAATGTGACTTTTATGCAGACACAACAGAGTAGGCATTTTACTGGCTGTTTAGAAAATTAACTACTCCATTTAACTATTTAACTACTCACCTGTGGCAACATGAACAAGGAATCCCAGGTATAGACATCTATTCAGTCTACCAAGTTATTTGTGAGTTGTTACGGAACAAAGACAATGCACCGAGGAAATTAAGATACAGAAAGAGAAAAGGAGACGGAGACAGTCTTGTACATAACAACCACCTCGCTCCGTCTCACAACTTCTTTTAATTGGCAAATGTTTGCCTGTTGAGTCACGGCTGAATTTATTGACAATCAATCATCTGTATGTCAGCCGATGAATAGGCCTGTTGCTGGTCCAATCAGTCATCTACGCGCAAGCCAATAAATGCGACTAACAGGCCTCAGGAGAAATGCTTTCTGAATACAGTTTGGACAGTTTGGATCAGCACAGTCCCTTTTTTGTGTTTCTGTTTATTATGTGAATTTTGCTGATGCCAGCAAATAAAATAAGACAATGAATTAAATCCTAGCATCTCAAATTCACACGCTAAGAATTTAAAGGCTATTCAGCACAGAGCAGTGTTCTAACGCTTACATATAAATAGTCATTTTTCATTCTTTTAGCTTCTAAATACTGGCAATGCCGGGAAGGATTTATGAAAACTGGACTGAAGATTTTCTCAGCAAATGCCTTACAAATAGAAAAAACACACACTGTGAATGACTAACTAGGAGCATAACACAAACAAGAAATCTTGGGTGAGGTCCAACATTGTGTCAGATTTAACAGTTCTTCTTTGCTGGCAGCTGTTCTGCGGCATCTTGGACGGAGCAGTCGGCGTTACCGTGCATCTAAAACATGTCGACACTTTGTCAGTTTGCACCCCTGTGCACTCAGGTGTGCAGTTTCATGCTTAAAAGCACATAATATTTAAAATAACTGTTATTCCTTCCAAAGCTCCAGTTATAAATTATGAAGCAGCACCTGAAAACAAAGCGAGTAAATCAGAAGGAGGGAGCTCGGCACAGACTGCTTCTGGAAAACCACCCAGTGACAATGACAGGAAAGATATACAAGACAGAGGAGATGACTTGCTGCCAGAGGTCGCAGGAAGACCTCGGCACATAACATACTGAGCATGAGGTATGAGCGTTTGCTGGCTTAACTTCAGGGCTCCCGGCTGAAATAGCCTACAATGACTTTAAATAGATCAACGATAAAGAAAGAGATAGATAAATAAACGCAGACACCATCATTCATTAGAAACACTGTCCAAATCTACACTCTGTGTTTAACTGAACAGTGGAAAGACTAACATTTAAACTCTTGAAAACCAAACTTTGTTTTTAAATTACTGATTGGGAGGAAAATCTACAAAATGCTCTTGTTACAGTTAACCCTAGAAGAGGGCATGAAAAATAACAGAGGCTGCGAGTCAACCCTTAAAGCTGAGCTAGGGAGCACCTTTTTATTGTCGCTGGAAAAAAAATTCAATATAACATTTGAGGATGTTGTAATTGAAGTAGAATTAGACGAACCATAGCTTCTTGACCTTCCCCGAGGCTTTAGAAAATCTGGCTCACGTCCACAGATTTGAGTTAACTGCACTTCTTTTCAGTCTGGCATGTAGAGGGTCAAGTGAAGTATAAATGCGGTAATATAAAGCCTGAAAATGTAACCATTTGTGGTAATCCCATCAGTTAAGCATAAGACTTTCACTTAGGAGATTGGGGTTCAAATTCGATTTGAAGATGAAACTCAGGCACTGTTAAATAAGACGAATGAACCGTCTCCTGTCAGACTCTTTATTTCTACTTACTGCAGCTTTAAAAACAAGTGTGATGGCACTAAACGCAACAGAGTTTTGAATCTGACACGTTCTCCCTCCAACACATAACAAATCACAGTTGAAATACCAAACATGGTCACAGACAAAGCGGCCAGCGCGTGTAACATCAGTGTCAGTCTGTGAGGATGCACCTCTCAGTGTGCTTGAAGAAAATGACAAATATATTGTAAATGAACTGACATATGACTCAGTTATTATTGCAGCATAGAGTGCTTTGAAAGGGGTGTGATAATTCATGAAATGGGAACATCTTTCTTCTTTTTGCATCACAAGCCGCTGGTTGAATATTAGCTTCAGCAGCATTCATGTGCATGTGTTAAATACGCAAATTTAAAAATCATAGACTTGCTTGAAAATGTGTCGAATCAAATTTCTCATTTCAAAATCACAGCCCAAAGGAAGAGACAAAACACTGCCCTGTGCTTATTAAAAACCTTTTCATAATGACATGGAAATCAGTTATAACGCACAGAAAAAACAGCAACATACTATAGATATTTGGGATCATGTCCACTTCATTTGCATTTAACGTTTAAAACAGATTGTCATCATGGATTGCTTTCACAAAATGAAGGGCAAGGTATAGCACAGATTTAAGACGCAAGACTTAATGAGTTAAAAACTGGTAAACAACAAAAAAAAACTCTAAAGCAATGCTTCACAGTGTTAACGGGAGTAAGAGACGTAATGAGCTGTTGTGGAGCAACTTCAGCACGCAGCTACTTAAAAACAGCAAAAAGTTCAGGGGAGCAGTCAGCAGAGAAAGTTTGCAGTAACTCACCGTGTCCTTGCGCATGCAGAGAGAACAGTCCAAGCAATAGTAGAGAACTCCAGCTCCAGAAGCAGAGAGACAAACAGCGCTTCAGCCTTTCTCCCTGCACTGGCATGGTAAGAGTGTGCCGCCGCTCCTCTCTTCTCTGGTCTCCTCTCTTCTCTGGTCTCCTCTCTTCAGCGCTCTCCGCACGATGGGATCCGCTCACACGCCGTCGCTCCTTCTCAGTGTGTATGTATGCACCAGAGAGAGAGAGTGGGTAGCAAGAGAGGCGGGGGTAGTATCAGGCATGCGAGCTCCTGAATCTGCGAGTGCGAATGTGTGTGTGTCTGTGTGGGTCCACCGAAACGTGAGAAAGTCCACACCACACAGAACACACCGGCAACAGCAGCAGCAGTTGGAGATGATTGTCCCCCCAACCCTGTCTGACAGTAGCAGCCCAGCTGAGAGAGAGAGGGAGAGAGACAGACAAAAAGGGGGAGTTTACTTCACTTGCCTTGTAGGGAGGGCTAGCCCTCTCTCTCTCCACACACACACACACACACACACACACACACACACACACACACACACACACACACACACACACACACACACACACGGTGAGGGAGGACATGGGTGGAAAGAAAACAGGGGCAGAAGGCAGACAGGAGCAAGATGGGGTTTAGAAAAAAAAAGTAGGAGGAGGGTGAGGAGGACATTGAAAACAAGCAGCACTATCTGTGGGATTCTGCACCTTTAACAACTTATAGATATCTGTTTACACTTTGTTTTGGAAATAAGACTGTTAATCGGGTGAGATTGACATAAAGTGTTGACCTAACAATAAAGCAGTGCTACAATTGATCATACAATACATTTCAGATTACTGCAGGAACTAAAAGAAAATCATATAACATCCACATGTACTTCCTTTCATGTGATTGCAGCGGATCCTAATTGTTGTGCGTTTGCATGGCCTAAATGGGAAAATTGGACCAATGTATGTTCAGTAAATATATCAGAATAGCTGAATATCAGAGTAACTGCCAACACTGGAGGTACTGGATAAATCTGTGTAGTACTTCAAGTATAATTAAGGGAAAAAATATACTGTATATGGAAGAGGCCCTACTTTAGGTGTGGTTTAATAGAGTGGATTTGAATTGTTCATGTTAACACGTAGGCAGGCTAACCTGTAGTGTACTTAGACACCCTTTATGCATATGGTTTTGAGCCTAAGGCATTGACCTTTAGCTTTGGTCTTCAGCAGGCTGGAACGAGCATATGCAAAACAACATTTGAATAAAACTGCACTCAGGTTTGTGTCACCGACGACTCCACAGTCTGCACGGCTGGAGTCGGGTTTATCATTCCGAAGAATTCTGCTTTACAATCCCAGATTTACGAAAAGCTACTCAAAACACCTCTTCACACAGTGGCGTGCTATTCAAGTAGCTGGCCTAGACACTTTGAAGGAGCTGTTAGAGATTACATCACCCAAGCCTGGAGCTTTTATACTAATAAATAAATGGGTTGAGACACTCTAATAGACCATTTCCTTTCCAGAGCTATCCTCTTGCCTGTAAGGCATGCTTTCGACAAAACCACGTGTGTGTGTTTGTGAGAGCGCACGTGCGTGTGTGCTGGTAACACTTTGCTTTTAGCTGAAAATATGACAGACCTGAAACACCACAGAATGGGCAGCTTTTTTTTTTTTTCCTCCTCAAAACACAAAATGCTGAACATTGAAGTTTCGAGGTTAAATAGATGGGGGTTTTGTTTTCATGTTAATCTGCCTCTTTGTTGCTGCCGCTGTTCTTTGCACTTCTTTTCTTTCTCACACTTGTTCATGTTGGTCATTAAAGGCAAACAATAGGCTGCCTGGCTCCCTCGCTCTTCGATGAGAGCAAAATATCACTTCACAAATAAACCGTCCTGCCCTGCCGCTGCCCTATCGTCTTTCTGTCTGCCCTCATCATTGCCTCTCTCAAGCCCTGTTCCCATACAAACAGTAATAAATGTTCTTGTCAATTTTCCTCTCCTGTGAAAGAGAAGATCCAGTCTCAGTTTTTGAAGCAGGATGCCGAGCTGGGGATGTTTAGCAAATAAGAAGCGGCCACTTGTGTAACTTGATATTTCAATTAGTATTTTGACAATTAATTAACCAAATACATCTATTTGGTGTCTTTCTTGCTACAAGATTACAGTGATCTGATTTTTGAATAAAATCTTTTTTTTTTGTTGCCCTTTCTGAACTTCTGAAGTCCTGGATTCGGTTGTAAAGTCAAAATTTTGAAGTGACCATTCCAGATAGGAACGTTTTCCGTTTTGGAAAATCACAGCAAAGTTTCTCCTGTTTCATGCCTTCCTAAATGACACACAGCTTTCTTTATTACCATTTCTACTCTTTCCAAGGTTTTTTTTTTTTTTTTTAACTAACAAACTTAGCTGCCCTCCCCCTCCACTTCTGTGTTTTTCTTCTCCACTCCTTTTCCCACTCCCCTCCTCCAGTGAACCAGAATGTCATTTCAAGCATGTCTAACCACGGGAAGCCTTTTAAAAAACTGTGACAGCATTTGCCCCCAATCCCCAATAGCTGTGAAGCCCTGTGTGTGTAAGCAAGTAATGAATGTCTGTGGTGATTTGCCTGAGAACAGAATATCATATGCAGATTGAGGTATGATCCCTTTAAAAGCTGTTACTTTAAAGGTACTGTAGACCAGTGCTCCATGACACACACACACACACACACACACACACACACACACACACACACACACACACACACACACACACACACACACACAGGCTATTCTTCACTGGTGTCACCCTCATGCTGGGTCTATGATGAATGGCTGAGACTGTCATGAGCGAAGGATGAGCAGTAAGAAAAAAGGGAGAGAGAAAAAAGCACAGAAAGGCCTCTGACAAGTAAAACAAAGGGGAGAAGAGGGAAGAATAATAGATGTCTGAAGCCTTTTAGAGGAAAGCTTTTTTGAAGAATTTAGATAACAGAAGGAGGAAGTTGACCTTTAAGAGATATTTAGAGGAATTCAAATTTAAGAGCAAAAAAAAGCTTATACTGATAACAGGAGGTCAAAGACATAAAAATACAAGCAACACTTCTACTTTACGTCACAAATGAGTTGCTCAGAAGTCTTTAAATCTGATGCAGAGACCACCGTTTATTCTGACTGCTTGTATGCTAATAGTGTTCAGGCCCCTTTACACATTCAGATTATAAGTCTCAGCAAGTGCTTGGGGTCAGTAGTTTATTCAGCATCCACTCTTTCATCATTTTTGACAAGCTGTCATAACACAACAACTTCACTTGTCAGTAGCTCTCAGTGTCAACACTTCAAAGGAGGTGGACTGAAAGTTGCCAGTAAACACATTTAATTTCTGATCTCGGAAATTAGAAACAAATAATACATCTAATGAGTTGTTAGGTACAATTCAGAAGTTTCCTCCTCGCCAAATGGACTCTATATATCGCACTGCACAATCTTAATTAGCAATCCTGAACTATCGCCTCTCCAGAACTGCAAACTATTAACTGCCGTGTCACCCGTGGTTTTATAATACCTTGGAGATAAATGAGAAAGGGTTCTTTCTATTAAGATCAATGACAGTGAATGGGAATGTAAAGATATGCTAAAATCACTTTCAGTTTGTAATCATGCCAAAGCAATACAGTTCAAGATTTAACACAGATCTCCCAATCTTAAAACAGTTTCGACCCAGCAATGTGCTAGATAGAGATTGGTACCCTAACTCATTGCCGTTGCTAATGTCATAAGCTGCAAAGATACCGATATTATTATGGAGATGGACCCAAAGTTTCTTATTTGAGGTCTCTCTGATAGAGTACATTTTTCAATAGGTCTATTACTTACTTGCACTGCAGTGAAGAACATCTTACTAAAGTGGATTAATGTAAAAGAACCAAGTGTTAAACGCTAGTGTAGAGTGCTGTTTTTTGGTACTGTTGTTTTACATTTTTTGCCTTTTTGTCTTTGTTTGTTTGTCTAAAAGTGTGTGCTTAAAGATTTCAGAATGGATCCATCCTTTGCTTGTAAAACTGGAGAACAATAAATATATTTGGAAGAAAAAAAACTTCATTATATGTAGACAACAGCTTTATAATTTGAGTGAAGTTAACTAGATCTCTGTAGCGTGTTGCTAATCTTATAGAAGGTCTATAGCACTGAGACTCTTCTCACTCCTCGCCATTCTGTCATCAGATCATGAGTACTCCCATCATCTATAACTAGGGATCTACAAATATTGTGGTACCATGGAATTGCGTGCCATTGACCTTGACTATCACTGGCCTTTTGGCAAATACTATGACGAAATGACTGCTGAGGGTGATAAAGATGACATATGACATCCTCTGCCTCTCTGATTGCATCCTGTGAGATGAACCTCATTGTAGTTGATCAGAAAGTATCAGCTTTGTATGTAGCTTTGTTGCCTCACAGCTAGAAGTTTGTGGGTTTGAATCCACCATCAGGCCGAGGCCTTTTTGCGTGGAGTTTGCACGTTCTCCGTGTGGGTTCTCTCTGGGTACTCTGGCTTCCTCCCACAGTCCGAAGACATGCATTTAGTAGCATTAGGTTAATTGGTGATTCTAAATTGCCTATAACTGATGTGAGTGTGAATGGATGTGTATGTCTGTGTTAGCCCTGCGACAGACCGGCGACCTGTTTGGGGTGTACCCTGCCTCTCACAGTTTGTGAGCTGGGATAGGCTCAAGGCCCCACACGACCCTGAGCTGGATAAGCGGAAGAGAGCGGATGATAAATAGACAGAGCATCCAGGAACTACTTCTGATAAAGTGCAGTCCTAACATGCGAAAAAAAACCCCTATCCATAGCGATTTTGAATAGAGGGTAAAGTAGATACGCAATTTTAACTAGATAAAGGAATAAAAATTACACATAGTTTATAGAGATTGTTGTTCTTTGTTTTTCGAAACAGTTGAATGTGTAGCAGTGCAGCAGTGTTAGGAGAGTCAATTTCTGATTACCAGAGTACTTTTTTTTTTTTTTTTAAGTAGGTGTTAAGACTTGAAGGTTTTCACAGGCCACTTACTGTAATTTCTGTCTGGGCTCAAATTCCAAATATATAAATGGACTTGGGATACTTGCGACTCTGCATATACCTATTCAAGCACATTGTCTCCACATTCGGATTTCTTTGGGATTTAAAAACCACCTTACCTTTTCCTGGCTCACTTTTAGAAGCATTTATCCCTTTATTTGATGTGTGAACTGACTAAAAGACAGGGGATTAAATCCATTTTAGTGAAACACCTCCGTGGCACAGCAGCACATCTGCTAATCCCCACCCATTCACTTCAGCATGTCTTTAAACTAACAAGAGGTTTAACATAATCTGCTTTAAGTCTGTCCATTCACTCCTATTCACTGGTGCATTTACATAGCAATCCTTTGTA